GCGCCGCGGAGGCGCCGAGCTGGGCACGTCTCCCTGCGGCGCGCCAGGCCCTCGGTCCCCGCGGAGGCGCGGGAGTCGCGGGGAGCCTTTGGTTTCTGCCGACACGCACGTAACCCGGAAACGGGGAGCTGTAAGCAGCCCCGCGGCCCCCGCCCCAGCTCGGGAGGGGGGACCGCGAGGTCCTTCGGCCTCAAGTTCAAAATCGCCCCAGGCTCGCCTGCCACCCGCCCCAGGACAGGACAGGACGCGGCCGGGCCGGGGGAGGGGTGGAAAGTGAGCGGCCGGGAGGCTCCCCCAGGACCGCCCCGCCCCACATTGACGCGTTTCTCAGACCCGACCCTTTTGCCCGTGGGGGGAATCCTGTAGAATAAACCCCCCGTGGTCGCGTCCCCTCCTGGGGACAGGCTAAGCCGCTGCGGACTTGTGTCCCGGGGCAGTGCTGGGAGTCGCGGCTGTCACGCCTGAGCTCGCCGCGACCGTCGGGGAAGGGGCAGGAGCGGGGAGGAGACGCGTTGGCCCCNGGGTGGGGGGCTCCCGGGGCTCTTACTGATTAGCTTCAGTCCCTTTCTGTAAAACCTTCGCAGCAGACGTCCTGGCTTCAAATTGTAGCCCTTGGACGCATATATAATCTCTTGACTGTCTTTTCTTAAGCACTTTTTTCCCCCAGATTAATCGAGCTAAAAACTAACGCTCCAGCCCTGTATTTCCTTTCCCTGGAAAAAGCCCCCCGGGAGTTGCTCCTACCTGCTGTAGGCGGCGGGGAGTCCGGGTGTTGGGTGGGCGGGGCCACACCCCACCTGCGCTCCGCAGCCTTGGTGTCTGGGGTCTGCCTAGGAAAGGATTCAGAGCCAAGGCTCCAACTATAAGAGAACATTTACTTCCAATATCACAGAGGTGGAAGAAGTAATGTCTAGAAGACATGGGCTCAGGAAACAAGTTATAGAAGCAAAGGAAGGGCCCTTGGTGCTTGGGAGTGAGGAAGCTGATGGGGGGGGCTGCTCCCCAGGGGGAGCGGCACCCCCTAAGGGTTTTAAAGGTGGAGATTTTAGGGGAGGTCCCAGGGGAAGATCTCTGTAGAATATTCAGGAGTTTTCCAGGTGTGTCCTTTCAGGGTTGTGGTCTCTACTGATTGATTGGCAGCAGGGCAGGGGGTCATTATCCTAAGTAGCTGGTCCTGAGGTCAGCTATGGGGGGGGGTCTCTGCTCTGGTTTTGCTGCTTTTCTGGGCCTGGATCTGAAATACAACTGAGGCCTAGATGTTATCTCTAGGGAGGAAAGGAGAGGGGTACAAACCCCAAGCCCAGGAATATGCTAGGGGAAGAAAGGTCACCCTGGGGGTGAGGTCCCAACCTACAATTGTCCACTGCTAGGCACCTGGGGGGCTTTCTGCCCTGGTGACCTTCTGTACGTGGCCCATCGTCCTTACTCTGCTCCTAACTGCCTGCAACATATCTACTGATACCTTTGAGAGCAGGACTGAAAAATAGATACTTTTATTATTTTGCTTTTAGGGGACAAGCTCATTGTCCTCTAAAGGTAAGAGCCCTTTTAGTTATAATTTTGGTTACAGTGTATTGTTTATTTTGTAATAAGAGCCACAAAATAATTTTTGCAATAATAAACTTATATTATTAAATTGATGCACTGACCCAAGGGGTAGTTTTAAACATTTTTATTCATATGCATACTTGAACATAAATGTGGGTATATATTTATGTTCAAACACCTATATAGAACCATGATTTTGTTCTGTATTTTTTATGTTTAAGTGACTCACAATACCTTTTTATGATATTTAAAAAATGCCACGGCGAAGATATTGTTGTCAGATGAGAACACGTGTCCATACTACCCATGTGACTTCTCTCACGTTTATCAATTAGGTAAGCATTTTTTTAAAGCTATAATTAAGCTTCAGGGTTGCACAAATGTTCATTTTCAGGAATCCTAACTAATGCAAGGTATTATCGGAGAAGTTCTTAGAATTCTAAACATATGTCCTGCAGTTAACATATATAATGGGATATATGTGTGATGAACGTGCCTCCGTATTACATATTCCTTTTAAAACAAGACTCTGTTCAGCATGCATTAAGTCTGACCATTGCTGTTAACTTCCTGGTACATATGTAAGTTTTACAAGGAAAGGGGCTTTTGTGAGTAGTTCGTAAAGCTTTTCTCCCTTTAATCACCATGTACTTGTCTATTGCTCACATTGTTTTAGAAAAAATACTTGTCCTATCTGGGTATCTGGCTTACCCTTAATAATGGACCTAAAAGCTTTCTAAGAACTGAACAAAGCTGGTGGAGTACAAAAAATACACAGAATCAATACATTTGAAGGACAGTATCTTATTGGCAAGTAACTAGAGTTTGTAGTAAACATGTAACCCGTGGGATCCATTTTCTAAAGAGGAAGCTGGCCTGAGATGCATATTCAACAGGCACTCTTCTAAACAGTGATGGTTTCACTTAAATTTAACTTGCTGGTAAATATGTTTCCAGAAGGAGGATGTCATTTAGAGTGAGAGTTTAAAAATATACATCGAATGATGACTAAGTGACCAAAAGAATGAAAGCTGTGTGGACTGTCTTGAAGGTTGTCTTTGCTACGTAGCCCAGGAGGGTCAATGGGACACGGAAGTCAACCTAAAAGAGCTCCCAGTGGCCAGAGCAGCTTGAACAACACAGTAGTGTACTGTTGAATTGTAATTCAATAAAATAGATGTCCTCAAGTCCATACTGATGTAAATGATTGAATAAAGACATGAGAGAGAAAAGACAACTAACTCTTCCAAAAGAATTCTAAACTCTTCATGTAAACGCTCCCCCCACCATGCCCTTTTGAATGTGATTACACATAATGACTTGCTTCCAAAGATTAGAGTATGGGAAGGGGGAAAGTAATTTTATAGTGGAGAAACCTGTCAAACACTGCCTGGGCCAGACCATTGTTAACATCCTTGGTGACGAGTCATGTTAATCACATGCACCCCTGATATGATGGGATGAGGTTACTTCGCCTCTTGCTATTCTTTCCTAAAGCCCATAACCCAAGTCTAACCATGAGTAAAATATCTAATGAATCTGGATAGGGGGGTGGGGAGCCATTCCACAGGATAGCTGGCCAGCTTTCCTCGTCACTGTCAATGTTATGAAAAACAAGGAAAACCTGAGAAACAGTCACAGACCAGAGGAGGCTAGGAGGCCTAATGACTAATGTAGTGTGGTAACTTGGATGGGATGCTGGAACAAAGGAAGGACACTAGTGGAAAACCTATTGAAATCAGAATAGAGTATAGGGTTTAGTTCATGGCAATGTACCCATTTAGCTTCCTCAGTTGTGACTAATGTGCCATAATAATGTAACATCAAGAAAAGGGGAAACTGGGTGAGGGAACTCTCTGTACTATCTTTGCAACTTTTCTGTAAATCGCAAATTATCCTAAAACATAATGTTTATTCTAGAAAAGGCAAGGTAACTTAAAATTAAACCATTATGTATTATATTTCTTCTGTAGGCCATAGCTATTAGAGAAGTTTTTATTTATTCAGATATTTCGTTTCACATTTAAGTAAGCTTTTTCCAAATATAATAATGACAAAATAACTAAAGCAATGTGTAGCTAGTTTTAATCAAACAAGGAACAAAAATCTCACAAAGGTCTCACAACCAACCTGTACTTAATTTGTTCTGATTAAGCAGTATACTTCAGCTCTTCTGCTAAACACTCTGCTTACTGCATTGATCACTAGAATTGTATGTATCAGGCTGTTTTCTAGAACATGCAGTTACTTCGGCTTACATCAGTTTGAATTTTTTTCCACATCTATAAAGATTATATGTAATTAAACATTATGTAACTGGCAAAATATGAGTGAAAAGTGACAGCTGTAATTTTTAGGAAAACTAAATCAGTTACTTTCAAAATCATCAAGTCACTAATAAAAATGCTTTCAAAGTAAATGAGGGTAAATTAACTCTAAAAGACAGGGTGGCCCTGGCCGGTTTGACTCAGTGGTTAGAGTGTTGACCCGTGGACTGAAGGGTCTCGGGTTCAATTCCCAGTCAAGGGCACGTACCTGGGTTGCAGGCTGGATCCCCAGCTCTGGGAGGCAACCAGTCAATGTGTCTCTCACATCAGTGTCCCCCCCCCTTCTCCCCATCCACTCTCTCTGAAAAGCAATGGAAAAAATATCCTTGAGGATTTAAAAAAAAAAAGGGGGGGGGAGAAATAGTTCTACACTGCATTATATTGGAGCTAACCAGAGGATAGCATTTTGCAGGTCCAGTTAGCACCTGTCTCCAGGCAAGAGCAGTGTCTCTACCAGAAGCTCTATGTGCTTCCAGCATTAGGCCTTTCCTCTCAATTTCACCAAGGACATGGAAACGACATATATGCTCTTCAATGGATGACTAAAGAAAATGTGGTATTTACACAAATGGAATATTACTCAGCCTTAAAAAAGAAGGGAATACTGCCATTTGTGATAACATGAATGAACCTGGAGGGCATTATGCTAAGTGAAATAAGCCAGACACAGAAGAACAATTACAACATGACCCCACTTATATGAGGAATCGAAAATAGTCAAACTCATAGAAGCTGAGAGTAGAATGGTAGTTACCAGGGGCTGGGGATATGGGGAGATGTTGGACAGAAGATATAGTTTCAGTTATGCAAGATGAATAAGTCCTAGAGATCTACTGTACAGTGTAGTGCCCATAGTTAACAATATTGTATGATATACTTAAAAACTTGCTATGAGGGTAGGTTATATGTGTAGTGTTCTTTGATTGATAGATGATAGATAGATATAGATGATAGATAGATAGATAGATAGATAGATAGATAGATAGATAGATAGATAGATAGATAGATATAGATGATAGATAATAGATAAGAGGACACTTGTGGAGGTGATGAACCTACCAAGCATTGATTGTGGTGATGGTTTCATGGGTGTATATTTATCTTCAACTTAAGTTGTATACATTATGTACAGCTTTTTATATATCACTCACACCATAATAAAATGGTTTTTAAAAAAAGAAAAAAATTACAATATTTAAAACAACTTCATCAAAATAAAAAATTAAAAAGTGGAGGTCAAAAGAAATATTAAGAAAGTGAAAAGACTCCATGGAATGAGAGAAAATATTTGCAGATTACCTCATAAGAATCTAGTGTCTAGAATATATAAATAACTCTCATAACAACAAAAAGGAAAACCAACTACAAATGGGCAAAGGATTTGAATGGACATTTCTCTAAAGAGAATTTAAAAATGGACCATAAGCACATGAAAAGATGCTCATCATCATTTTTCATTAAATGCAAACCACAAACCCCCAGATGTAACTTCGCACCCACTAGGGTGGCTATTGTAAAAAATGAACAACAGTAATAGATGTGTGTGAGGACGTGGAACCTTGTACATTGCTGGCGGGCATGCAAACTGGTGTAGCCACTTTGAAAAACAGTTTGGCAAGTTCTCAGAATCTGAAACGTAGTATTACCACGTGACCCCACAATTCTCCTCCCAGGTACACACCCAAGAGAACTGAAAACATATGTCCACACAAACACTAGTACTGAAAGCCACCAGCATTATTCATAATTGCCAAAAGCTGAAACCACCCAAATATTCATCAGGTGACCAACAGATTTTTTTAATGTGATATATCCACATGATGAAATACTTTTGGCCTAAAAAAGAAATGAAGTACTGATACATGCTGCGACATGTATGAACCTTGTAAACATTGTGCTAAGTGAAAGGCTAGACACAAAGGACCGCATATTGTATGAGTCCATTTGCTGTACATGAAATGTCCAGAATAGGCAAACCTATAGGGGCAGAAAGTAGACTAGTGATTGCCAGGGGCTGAAGGGAGGGAGAGATTGGGGAGTGACCGCTAATGTCTACAGGGATTTTTCAGAGTGATGAACATGTTCTGGAATTAGATATTGGTGATGGTTGGACACGGTGCGCATTTACATCCACAGCAGCTGGAGATGGGGCACTAAGGAGGAAAGACGGTCTGGGGAGGGCACCGTCAGCATCCACCCCACCTGCCCTTTCCTTTAAAATTGTAGATTTCTTTCATATTTCAGTTAATGCCTACAGTTTATATTACATCATTTTCTAAATTTGCTGCATATTATGCAAACTGAGTGATGATTTTATATTTAATCCTAAGATTTGGCAGAAATAAACACATACTCTTGCTTTTTAAAATCATCTTTAGTTCTCAAAATTAAAAAGTGCTAAATTTTGGCTTACCCTCTTGCAGGAGTCCTGCCATTTTGAAACTGAGAGTAGTTTGCCTTTTGGAGAACAGTGTAGAGTGAGGGGGAAATGCACAGGTGCTAGGGGCTCCCCAGCTGTCGCTGCCCTGCGACCTGAGGCAGGTCACCCAACTTCGCTGTGGCGTTTCCACATCGGTGAAATGGGCCTCATTCTAGCCCGCTTCACAAAGCTTTGTAGGAGTTAGTGCCTTAGAACAAAGTGCTCAGAACAAAGAACAATGCCTGGCATTTAGGAAGAGCTCAGTAATTCTTTGTTTCTATTTTCTAGGCCCTCTCCAACTCTTCTTGGAAGCAAGGACAACCAAACCATGTGCAGTACTGCAAGCACAGGGGACAGCGAGGGTTTAAAGGAGGTTCGGTATTGTTTTCTGATTCGTTTTCTTTCCGATCACCTTCCTGAATATGCCAAGTGTTTTCTTTTAGGGACAGTAGCGCACTGAATGCCTTCCCTGAAATAAAAACTTGTATGACCAATTTCTGACTGCTACCTACGTCACCCCATTTGGATATTTTTCTTCTAAGTACTTTACCTAGTGTATGTATGTGTGTGTGTANTATATATATATATATATATATATATATATATATATATGTGTGTATATATGTATATATGTATA